GAAAACGGGGTCTTCAAGAGTCATGGGCCCGAACCCTTTTAGGATTTTCTTAGTCTCACTGAGTCCTACTTATAGCCAAAATATGGAGTCAAACGGCGTCCGACAGTTGGATAGGTTCCCTCGTTAGATTAAATACTAAGAGTTTCAAATAAACAACAACTCTAACAGTTAAATAGAAAATTATTTGAGGATTTGAAAAAAAAGTTAGTAGTTATTTAGTTTAGTTTAGTTTAGTTTAGTTTAAACTTTATTCATTTTAAATAAAAAAAAGTAAAAAGAACATTCAAGAACATGTAATCTTGAAGATGGAATCGACAAAAGTCGTTATACCTTCTTCTCGATTACCACAAACTAGCACAAAAATACTATAAATAAATATGCCTTCGATGTTACAATATGAACAGTTAGTAATAAAGTAGTTATTTTATATTTTATTTTATAAAATTCAACTTAGGTATTAGATGCCGTTCTACATTTCGTATAGCATAAGAGCATAATTTCTGTAAGGTCTAGAAACATATTAATTTGCACCGGTATGTGTTTGTCTAGGTACCAAACATTTCTGCTAAACGGCTGATTAACGCGGTAGTTGTTATATCATTTCATCGTGATTTGTGAATTATTTTTCTTTCGTACTCGAGTATGTTCCACATTATTTGTGAGACTACAGTTGATCTAAAAGATAATGCTGACGAGTGACCGAATAAGGATATTGAACGACGAATGAAGATGAATGATTTTCGTGTGCTTACTATCGATATTTATATACCAATATTTTTTTGCGATAAGAGAAGAGAGAAAACGATATAAAAAATATATTTTCACATTACATTAGGAATGACTGATTCTGCCTATGAATAGTACCTTGTGCTTATTCAACCATACAATGTGACGACGGGAATTTTACTCATGTATTATCCATACACTGCATGTTGACTTTATTTATTTCTCCACTTAAACATGCATTAAAACGTATTTCAGTTACATAAATACCGAATTGTACACCTTGATTCGTCGAAATCGCTCGGTATCTGTTAATTATAGTTTTGTCATCAGCTACATGACTACAACATTGTCCGCTGCCGATTTTTGACCTTGTTTCCGATTTGATTAAGTGAGTACTTTCACTCGTACACTCTAGTATCAGACATACACAGATATATTGTCTGATATATTTCATAATACTGTAAAATTTTCTAGATCAGTTGTTCTAAATTTCATTGATGTTTGAAAAGTCTTCAAGGTATCATTTCGTAGAGCAATATATGATCATTCTTTTATAAAAAGAATTACTTTATCATGGCAATTGATAAGAGAAACACGAACTAAAAGAAAAATGCTTCAGCGTACCAATAATAGAAACGTATATATGGGTTTCTTTCGTGATTTTAGTAATTTTCAAAGATATAATCATTCAGAATGAATTATCCAGGTATATGCCTTCCACTCAAACATGATGTTCTTGATAAAATCAATTTCTCCACTTATTATAAAAACACTATCGTGTCCTTTAAAAGAGTTACGAACAAATCTAAGACTTGACGGGAAAATAAACATTCTAAAGTACTGATCGAACTTCCGATATGCAGACGCTCATTTCGTAGACATGAACGTGATTTTTTTAATATTATCATCATCAGAGAAATATTTTTCTAAAGAACTTTACTGGCACTGTTTTCTTTAACTTTTGCACTTTAATAGTGGAATATGACTGTGATTTTGAATAATCTGTAGCCTTGCGGATGCGATCATTCATGGATAAAATCAGTTAGAATATTTCAAAGCTTTGTGAGTGATTTATGTTTTGGTTGAACGTTGAAAACTGTCAATATAATCGATTGCTATGATGTATTGTTTTTTTGTCAATTACCTGACTAGAAGTCAGATGAGAGCCAATAGGACTTGCTCAAACCATAAAGCGTTAATTTATTAACGGACCAACAACAAGCATGGGCATTTAGGCAGATTATGCGTCACATCGAATAAGTTGTATGGTGCACTCTAAAAAGAATGCGATTTAGGATCCAATTTAGTCACATTAATCTGACTAGCTTGATCAGTCGCATTTTATTTTTTAGTGTATGGAGTAGAAATAAATCATCAAAAGGCCTCCATCTAAACCGATAAATCGCTTTTCATACATTCTCTACGATGTTAAAATTTTAGAATAAACTAGAAGAGAATTAGTTTTACGACAAGAACATCCACTGTTTTCCTGCTATTTTATTTTTTCAAGATTTCTCGAAGTTGGTAGCAAAATCTTAGTAGACTGAGTGTGATTTGGATATCATTTTAAGAGCGACCATACTGTTTCAGATGTGCCAGAAAGTTCTGAAAAGGACTTTGCATGTATACGATAAATGTACAGAAAACAGTAAAGCTTTCTTGCTTTTCTTTTCCTCGGAACTTCATCTGCTTTCGTTTCACGGTTCTGATCATTTTTAGTCAGATAAAATGTCGCGTGTTGTAATAAATAATATGCAGTCTTCTTCGTCAATCCATTGGTTGACAACATTCTTCTTCTACTTGAACCACGACGAACAATCAAGGGTTTTTGTTGAATTGCATTGCTAAATCCTGTTCAATAGGAACAAATAAAAATAAAACAATGTAACAGATACAGAAATATTTGACATCCAAAAAAGAAAATTAAACATATAAGTTACTCACTGAATCTATGGATCGGCATGTACCATTTACGGCTAACTAATCATCAATGAATTGGTCATAGTATTACTAGTTAATAACACCATCAGTTAGCTCGTCGCCATGTCAAGCCGTTCCCTGTCAGAAACCTATATCTGAAATTTTAAACCCGATCTAGATGAAAATTTCATAAAATTATGCAATTTTTTTAAGGTGATATCTACTGTTGTTTATTGGATGTCGTCATATTAACGACTAAAAAGCAGACGTTGCAATTTCCCAAAATGTTTTCACATAGATTATGAAGAGTTCGATGTGATTTCAAATTGAAGCCAGTATTTGTAGTTCGAGATCTATAAAGCCAGATTTTTAAAATTTTTTATCATATTTTCTGCCCTCTGCCAAGAGAAACAAAAACTTTAAAGGACTTCAAGGTTATCCAGAAATCATTCTCTATACTGAAATTGATGTGAGGAATCATAAACCGGGTTCTGTTAACCTGTAGTATTAAGTTTTAGGTATACAATGAAAGTATTTCGAGCTCTCTAGAATGTTTCTGGACGAAAAATTTCAGACGGTATAGTGAGTTTCGAAAGCAATAATTTAAAATAGAAAAAATAAAAATGTTCTTTTTTATATGAAGATCAAAATGGAAAATTGTTTTCCTTTTGCCCATGTATCCAATAAATACACACAGGACAGCTTAGCGATCATCGAAGATTATTGCTCCTTTTAAAACTGAAACCGACAAGTGGCAGTCTTTGACGTTGCTCAAGTTGAAGTGCAAAGAGTTCTTGTTGTATTACTTTTAGATACGTTGTGATTTCAGAAATCCCGGTAAATATCTGAAAACTCCATTACTATCGACACAGATCATAGACAAGCTCGGTAATGGCACATGGTGGATCTGCAAGTTCTTTGAAAGATCGTTCTGTTTCCAGCAATTATGCAGATTTGCGTAAAAGTCCAATGGATGAAAAAAAGAAGCCGATTAAAATTGTTTGTATCTCAGACACACATAATGGGCATAAAGTTCAACAATTCGCTGATAAAATCCAAAAATTAGATGGTGATATATTGATACATGCAGGTGATTTCAGTGAGGATGGGAAAGAAGAAATAATGGATGCGTTTGACTGGTTATGCTCATTAAATAATTTCACATTTAAAATATTTATATCTGGTAATATGGATGGTTTTGTTTTGGACGATGGTAGTCCAAATGGTGGATATCGAAAGCGTGAAGAATTATTTAAGAACGATAACAATGTTATCTATTTAGAAAATGAATGTCGTACGATTCTTGGAATAAATATTTATGGATGTCCATATACACCAAAGTTTGTCGGTGGTTTTGCATACAATAGAGGGTCAACGGAAGCAAAACAATTATGGAAAATGATTCCAAACGATTGTGATATTTTAATATCCCATGGACCACCTGCAGATATTCTAGATGCAACTTCTAGAGGTATGATATAGAAATAGTGAGCAACGAATATTTTCTCTCTATTTTTCGACCAGAAGCTCCGGTGAAGTCCAGCGGGTATGGGAGAACCCCCTCGCCTCCCGAGGTGTCCTATCGCTTTTTCCTTAAAACTTATACGATTGTTGATAATTTGTGATGCTTATCACTAATCTGATATCCGTTTCTACTGCTAGGCCTTTCTGGCGTGGGTCTCTCAAATTGGGTGTCCGAAGATCCGCTGTGAACTTCCAGCTGAATTCTCGCACTGCCAGATTGTAAAGCATGTTGAAGTACCTATTGTGGAAAAGGGTTCGGAACCAACGAACAAGTTTTCGCAGAGATAGAAAATTTTTACTTTCTAATCTAGTAGGGTATCAGAATATTTTAGGTTTTTCAATTTTAAAATTTGTCTTTCTCTGCAATCAATCAATCAGTTTATTTTAACACGAATGTGTCTAGGATGTTACAAAAAAGATAAAACTTAAATGAATGTAAAATTTAATTTGTTCATCGGTAATGAACTGGTCATTTCATAGTCATTACAGATTATTCTGGCTGCCACTTTTGAACAGACACTAGTGGAAGTAAATGCATTTTTGTAGTAGTATCATAAACAACAGAGCAATAGTCCATGACTGGCATTATGCATGTTTCAAAGATGTAAAGACGTAGAGAGGATTGTGCGATGTTAAAGGTCCCCCTCTCAGAAATTATCTCCGGCACCGTACATCCGATCTTGACGAAACTTTCCGTAAATATTCGGCACAATGAGTTACGGGAATGAAAAAAGATTTTTTTGTCTCCAAGTCTTACGGTTTAGGGATTTTCCAGAGATCAAGGTCCAAAAAGGACCCCGAACGGCGTCCCAAGTTTTTTTAATATACTTCAAGCTGGAGAGTTCGGGTTTGTGTTATTTTAAACTAGACGATCTACTCCAAAAATCGACGCCGGTCAGTCGATGTAGTTTCTTTTCCTCTTTTAAACAAAAAAAGAATGAACTCTCTACGACAAACCGCTATTAAAAATCTTGGGACGCACTTCAGGTGTAACTCTTATATAGCGAAAACGCTGTGTTAAACGCTGTATGAAATAGTCGATTTTATGACTGCTAGGAAATGCCTGTAACTTTTCGATGCAAGATCATACAGAGTTGTGCGAAGTCTTATTTTGATAAGAAACGTTTGCTCTACAAAGCTGTGTTTTCAGAAAAATTTTAATTATAAGTATCCAGGAAAAGGCCATTATTTGAAGACCCGTTTTTTCGAGGCTCTTAGAAAACTCAAAATCCCAGAAAAACCACTTTTGTAACCAGAAGCAATACAGATTCTGGAAGTACTTCAAGTACTTCAGGCTATCTTTTCATGTGCGTATCTAAAAAAAACCGATTGTTTGACCGAAAATCACCATTTTTGAGGGGGGGGGGCTTAAATGTACGGTGCATTGCGTTTAACATTTGTCTACACTTTTTGGCTACATTAGAAATATGAAATTTTCATGTTAGATTGTGCTATAAAAAAAACTCCTAACAACTTAATATTGTTTTCCTTAACCAGAGCCTAAAAAAAGCAAACTTCCTATAGTAGAAGGCGGTGTCGTTGTTGAGAAGGGCATAAAAACGCACTTGTCGATGTTTAATTTTACTAGCATTTTGTCACACCAGTCAAACATCGCATCCAGGTCATTTTGAGCATTTACTAAGTCTGTAAAATCGTGCACAGGGACAAGAAGAAAAACATTGTCAGCAAAGAAACAAACAGTTGTTGAAGGGGGGAAAATGCTGGGGAGGTCATTGATAAAAATGAGGAAAACGATGGGACCTAATATACTTCCTTGGGAACTCCTGAGACTGCAGATGCTGAACTGAACTGTTTATTGTTAACGGCAACAATTTGTTTCCGTTCACAGAGATAGGAGCTGAACCACTGGTAGAGTGGCCCATCAATACCTGCTAGGGACAGTTTTATGAGAAGTAACTGGTGGAGTACCCTGTCGAATGCTTTTGAGAAATCAAACGCCATCCCTATGACCTTATTTCTTTTTTCAAGATGCTTACTCAACTCAGTAGTGACATGGAGGAGTGCATCAACGGTGCTAGATTGAGGACGGAAATCGAATTATACACAACAGAAAAACTTTGATTGCTCTAAGCGGCATAGAAGTACTTGTTGGACTAACATTTCGAAAAATTTACTGATGTGCGATAATAACGGAATCAGGCGATGATTGGAACAGAGTGAATGAGATCCTTTTTTGTGAACTGCCTTAATCAAAGCCGATTTTCATAACTCAGGAATCTCCCATTTTCTAGCGATTTCTTAAACACAAAATATAACTGAGATCCTAGTACATCAGCGCAGAACTGGAGAAATTGAGCAGAAATTCCGTCTATCCCCACCGATTTTTTCTTTTTTAACGATTTTATCAGAACTATGACTTTAGCTACTGAAAATTCAAAAGTTGATAGAAATCTTTGTTGATATTGATTTTGATTTAAGGGAGGAGACAGGGGGCCTACGTCTGATGAAAAAACACTTCCGAGAGAACTCAGAGAACATGTCAGCATTCGCTTGGTCATCACTTGCAGTGGACTTGGCATGGATAATCTGAGTAGTCTTTTCTAAAACGATTTAAACTGGAGTCAATGTACTTTCGATCACCAAAAAAAGATACTTTTGATCACCAAATTTTTTAGATACAAATGATCACCAAAAAAGATACTTTTGATCACCAAACGCCTTTAGATACAAATGATCACCAAAGAAAGATACTTTTGATCACCAAATTTTCCAGCATCACATTTTTATTTATATAAACATATAAATTTTAACAAAGGC